GCAACGTATAAGATCGATCAGGGTACGTTAAGAATAAAGTGCCCGCAACGTTATAAGATGGATCAGGGTACGTTAAGAATTGACCACAACGTTATAAGGTACGTTATAAAAACAATTAATTGAGTTTTGAGGTGAGCAGTCAAAGTGTGCTTCTTTGTGGTCTCTGTCTGCCCTAGCGGAATGGGGCCATGGGGAGGAATTTTATCACCAGCCGCGTCCCTTACATGTGCACAATGAAATGAAATAGCAAAAACGCACTAACGTCGCCGTTCCAACGTACTTCATACATATTTAGTTCCATTTTGTTCCATTTCGTTCCATTTCGTCCATTTCGTTCCATTTTGCACTTTCTGTACACCGCTATCAGCTGATGTTGAAGCATATTAAGGTTTTTATGTTGATATGAATGAACTTTATTGCTCAACACTGGTACATGGTACAATGTATGGCAGTAATACAACAATACTAAAAACTTTACTTACTACAAACTACTATCTAAACAGTATATGAGTTACTATATGGTCATGTATTGATGATATGGCCTACGTACATGTAAGCAGATATGGTACAGTAGTTGGACATGATAATAATTCATGGAATGTATCGTACTATGTACCTAGATTGGGTGAACTTTGTCTTAGTGGTAATAGTCTGTAAGAATGTATCTCTTTCTTTTGTTATTAGATGGGACAAGTCATAACAAAGTGAAATACATATTATTGATATACATATTGTATGTTGATATGCATAATGTAGGTGATGCTGTACTCATGGTGACTAATCTACATGGCTCAGTGCAGATGTCATTTGAAATCCTTGAAGTTTTCAGTCTCATCCTCAAAAAAAGAAAATAATAGGTCTTATAAAAATAATGCCTTAAATGTGCAGCACATTCAAGCAATTAGTAGTAATTCCCAGTGCTGAGTAACATGTCTCTGCTTAAGCTGAGTAACACGTCTCTGCTAAGCTGAGTAACATGTCTCTGCTAAGCTGAGTAACACGTCTCTGCTTAAGCTGAGTAACATGTCTCTGCTTAAGCTGAGTAACATGTCTCTGCTTAAGCTGAGTAACACGTCTCTGCTTAAGCTGAGTAACACGTCTCTGCTTAACCCTCAACAGAACACCTTCCGGACTGATTAATCTGTACACCTCACGATGGTCAAATTTGGGCCCAAATATTCCAACCTTTTATCGAACCGATCATGTTCGATATGACGTCAATCGAATCGAACCACTGTTCGATATGACGTCAATCGAACCGAACGTTCGTTCGATCCGGGGTCACCCGCGGTCATGTACAGTAAACCCGCGGCTTCAAGCCAGTTTTTACCCGGATACCGCCTAACAGTAAAAAATTCACCTTTTCACAAATAGAAACCGATTTCGGAACAGTATATCTTTGCACTGTTTTATAGTGGATATGTAACATGTAACGAAGCTACTGCCGTAATCATGTGTGACCTTGAAGATCGTAATTGTTGTTTACGGGGCTGTAAGTTACCCCCTGCACTTGCTCACACGGTCTGACATGCGTGCAAACATGGTATTTAAACCGCAACAAAAACAAATTCAATTTACCTCAAAAACGTTTTAAATTGTAGGCAAGACAAAAATCTCGATCTGTGTCGGACGGATTTTTTAAAGATGGCGGCTTTCTGGAATTATCTGTCTCGGAAGTTGAAAAAGCGCATTTTTTGGCGATTTTTTCGACCTTAGCAACACTTTAACTTTGAAATAAAGAAAACTGTCCGACTCAAATCTTAATTTTGTTATACTGTTCTCTAAAATGCAAAATATGGAATTTTCTGGAAGATTTGGGGTCGGTTTAAATCAGTTGTTTGGTTATTGACGTCGATTGTTCTAGAATAAGCATTCGACGAGTTGAGAGTAATTTCTAACACATTTAAGCATTGTAATAAAAACAACAACATTTGAGGTATATGCAGTGCGGATTTTATCACATTTGGATGAGAGAGTCCCCGTGAAACTGTTTATTATTGTTTAAGAAAAAATTCACCGTTGAGACTGGCTCCACGGAAGCCGCGCGTGGAACCCCGGTAACCTGATACCCCTCCGTAGAATTGGAAACTTTACCCTAGAAATTGACCGCCGTGACCTGGGGTCCGCGCGGACCCCAGAGCAGTTTTTTGCTAATTTTTAGAAATTATCAACATGCTACCAGCTCAATTGTTTTGCAAACTGATGTGGGAACCTCTGTGTCCACATTACATACAAAAATCATACATTTTGAACTTTTTCTATTTTTGGTGAAGAAAAGAAGACAAGAAGAAATACCCGATTTTTAAACCCATTTCAGACTGAAGGGGCTTTTGAGGCCCAACTTTGATCTCAGATAGCGGCTAAACGGCTTGCGCTAGAAGTATCAAATTTGGAGACCTTTCTTAAAATGTCTCTGGAAAAAAGTTCATATTAGTTTTATACTAGTAAGTTGATGTTTTTTTGTGTTGCCATGGCAACGGGTAGTTTTTTTTAAAATAGAAGTAATTTTGGTTTAAACATAAAAATTTTCTGAGTTTTATATAAAATTACACTTCTTTTCCAACATTAATAACATCTTACATAATTAAATATAAGTTAAATCATTTAATATGCATAGAATATGCTAATTTGATGACGTCATTGGTCAAAATCCAATATGGCTGACTATATTATTAGCTCTGACGTCATATGACGTCATAATTACACCAAAGTTATTAAAATTTAATTCTATTACTACACCATTCTCTGAAAACTTGGTAGTCATACGATGAATGCATAAAAACATATAAAAACGGAAATAAGGTAATGTATAAGAACGCCAGTGTATCCATTATGATCGAAAGCCGGCTGGGGTCCGCGCGGACCCCAAAAGAAAATCAGATATAATTTTTTTTATAAAAGGCAGAAACGGAGTTTTCTGCACTGTATTGAGAGACAACTTTGTGGGTGACAATTACCTAAAATTTCAGAAACAAATCTTTAGAAACAAAAAAGATATTACAGAATATATAGTGCTGGGGTCCGCGCGGACCCCAGGTGTACTGTTTAGGGTTAAGCTGAGTAACACGTCTCTGCTTAAGCTGAGTAACGTGTCTCTGCTAAGCCGAGTAACACGTCTCTGCTTAAGCTGAGTAAAATGTCTCTGCTTAAGCTGAGTAAAATGTCTCTGCTTAAGCTGAGTAACATGTCTCTGCTTAAGCTGAGTAACACGTCTCTGCTTAAGCTGAGTAACACGTCTCTGCTTAAGCTGAGTAACATGTCTCTGCTTAAGCTGAGTAACACGTCTCTGCTTAAGCTGAGTAACATGTCTCTGCTTAAGCTGAGTAACACGTCTCTGCTTAAGCTGAGTAACATGTCTCTGCTTAAGCTGAGTAACATGTCTCTACCAGTAGCATGTCAGTGGTGTCAAGACAGTAACCGTCAGTAAGAGATCAGTCAGAATAATACTTAGGAAGCATTGGTACTTGTCAGTTGCAATACAGACGTGACATTTGAGCCGTTTTACTAAATTTGTGACAGAAATGAGACTGTCAGCAAGTGACAGTCACTCACAGTCACAAATTAGTAGTACTGGTGGTTTTGCTAAGGGAAGTACAAACAGTACAGGAGAGCTGACAATGCTGTTTTGCTGATAACAGATATCAACGAGTGTGTGATGTTCCCCTCACTGTGTCACCATGGGCGCTGCCGCAACACCATTGGCAGCTTCCGCTGTGAGTGTGAGGAAGGGTACGACTTGGACCACGCAGGCAGGAACTGCACAGGTGAGTCTTTCATCCTCATGTTTTGTCATCTCTAACAAGGAAAATTTAGTTTTCATTTAGTTCTGAGAATTGAAGGACTCCAATTAATTCAAGAGGGTCTGCATGGGGGGTCCTGGCAACGGTTAACAGTAAATTCAGCAGGCCCGACAATGCTTCACGGTAAATTCAGGACTGTTGGTAACGCTTAAAGGTAAATTGACACGCATTTTTTAAAACTCCACTAGGTTCAGTATCTGAATTGGTGAGAAGGAGTGATCGCTGATGAAATATATGTAACAAAGTGTGCACTAGTAAAGGTAGTTCATACTACTGTTCCCCGTGCTCCTCGCCTGCCTTTGTCCCCGAGTGCGTCCACAGAAGCTTCAAGAGGGGGACTGAGAGCAGAAGGCGTGAGCAATTAAGGGGGTCCATTTGCATTTTTTAAACCTTCAATAACGCATTTTCCTGAAATTTGAGAGGCAAAGTGAGGTTTGACTACTAGTGTGTAGGTCTACGCGTAACGAAGAATTATTCAGTAACGCTTAACGCTAAATTTAGGATCACAAATAACGCGCTACGTAGATTTTAAAAAAGGACCAAAAACGCTTCACGAGAAATATACCGATAACACTTTATTTTATTTTATTCACATGGATTTTTGAGCATTGGATAGGAAGCACTTGTTGTGCTTATGTAAATCCGCTGCTCATAAAACATAATACAAATGTAAACATAAAGATGACATAAAGTATAGCATTAACATAAAATGAAAGTGGCTGGCGCACCAATACCTAGCATAACATTATTGAGATTGGTCAAATCTTCCAGAGTGGTGGATATAGTTAAACACAATATCAAAGATACGGCAGTTGGTAGGGTAAGGGAGGCTGGGGCTACCTGTAAGAAGTAAAGTACATAATGTGGCGTCATTTACGTTGAGTGGGTCGGAAGGAAGTATGTTTTCAAGATGAAGGCAAGATATGGATAACAACATTTTGGTCCTTTCAGTATTATAACATTTGCAGTGTAATAAATAGTGTTCTGGTGTCTCATTTGGATGCCCACATTTGCACTCGGGACTACTGATACAGTGATGCTGGAATAGGTGGTAGTTCAGCTGGCTGAAACCAAGCCTGAGTCTGGTAAGGTGAGTCACATGGTGTCCGTGGCCGTGAGAGTAGTGGGGATGTCTGGGCATGCTATCAAAGCAAGACTCTAATTCATTTTTGAATGCACGAATGGATGGGGATTCTTTGGCGGTCTGGGGTAACTTGTTCCAAGAGAAAACAGCAGAAGGCAAGAAAGATTTTTTGTACATAATATGTACTTTTCAGTTCTGATGGTAAGAGGGAGATAATTCTGGTCAGTACGCAGGCCATAAGGGGTGGAATCACGGATAAGTGGGGGAACCAAGTCTTGTAGATATTTGGGAACTAAGCCATTGGCCATTTTATAAAAGTGAACAAGTTTGAACTTTTCGCGTCTGTTGGCAAGTGTTTCCCAACCGACGTCACATAGAATGCGGTGGTGATTCGTCCCTCTCATTGCGCCTGTGCAAGCTACGATAACACTTTGAATTAGAGCAGACTGGCAACAATTAATAATGAATCAAAATAGCCTATAACGGTTAACGAAAAAGGGCATGCAGGCCCTCATTCGATTTAAATATAGAAACAGTAGCTTCTCTCTAACCATGAGGTCTCATGGTACAAAAGCTCATACACAAATGCAATTTTCATTGAAACCTGCTGTTTCTATTTTTCAGATATTGATGAATGTGCCATTGCCTTTGGCATCTGTGGTAACGGTACCTGTGTCAACCTGGAGGGCAACTTCATGTGTAACTGTAACCCTGGGTACGAGAGTGGCTTCATGGGCATGAGAACTTGCATGGGTGAGCAACAGTAGCACGTCGGCAGAACGTACTGCACCTGCGCAAAACCCGTAATGTATTGTACATAGCACTTCGGCAGAACGTCTCATATAAGGTCGTACTAGCGCATATAAGGTTAACACCCCGTCTGTAGTTTCCAAATGTTATGTAGGAAAAGATATCCTTTGCAACAGGCAAAATTCTGATGCAACGTTGACCAAAAATCCACCGAAAATAGTGAAAATACAGGGTTCTGCGCAGGCGCAGTACGTTCTGCCGACGTGCTAGCAACAGTGTGCTAATGGTCTCCATTGTGTAAATTACTCTTAATAAATACTCTTAATAAATAAGTTTTACTTATAAAAATTATGTGTGTACCACTTCCCCTGACTTTACCGTTTTTAAAAACAATTTAAACAAGAGTTCCACGATCTCATACCTTCGCCAAATGATGTTAACCCTTGCGGTTGAAGAATTATACAATTTTAATAATTGATTTTACAAATAAGATCCTCATTTGCATGGGTTATATCAGTTGATCATATTCTCCACCCAATGACAGTCTTATCTTAACAAAAAGGCTATTATAGCACTTCCTCATAAATTATGCAAATGAGGTCATGATTTGAAAAAAATCATGTTTATTGATGTTTGCCTTCACTTAACTTCCAAATGTGGCAAGTATGAAATTCCCAGCAGTTACAACAATAAAATTATAAAGATTTTCCATTAATTATGCAAATTAGGTCTTCATTTACATAATCTATATCCTCAGATTTTTTTTTCATTCTCAATTACATTTAACAAGTGTTTCATAGTCCTATTATCGAACAATGCAGAGTTTTAGAATTTCCTCATTAATTATGCAAATTAGCTCCTGATTTGCATAATTATCATTTGATTATGTCAAGCATCACTTCAGCTACCTACATACCAAAAATCATGACAATCCGTCACCCGGTTCCTTAGTTATCATCCTTCGAAAAATTTTCAACAAATGCTCCTGCAGTTCCAGAACAAGCCGCTAGGGGGCCCAAACTTATGTCACTTCTTCCCTACTCCAAGAGCTATCTACCAACCAAAATTCGTGACCCTAGCATGTACAGATCGCGAGATATCAAAACCGGAAGTTCTGCTGCAGTACCAACAGAAGCCGCCAGGGGACCCAAAATCTAATCATTTCTAGCTCTCATGAAGACCTACTCACCTACCAAGTTTCATGACAATGCATACTAAGCTTCTTGAGTTATGCTGTTCACAGACAGACAGACAGACAAACGGACAAACGCTACTGAAAACATAACCTTCTTGGCGAAGGTAACTAGAGTTTGGCAATCTCAAACCTCCATGAAATGTTTGTAAATCTTATGCATGGTGATGACCTGCTCAATAGCAAAAATTTTTATGCAAAATATTTATATGGCCCTATACCTAGTAACATGCAACGCACTGGTGAAATCCTTATCATTTGGCATGAACAAGGTAAGATACAGTTATATTCAAGCTAGAGAGTCTGACTTATTTTCAGGTTTCGTACACAACAACAGGTGATCTAACCTGCGGTCGGTCTGGTAACTTGTGTGATACGGAATAGACCGTGTTGTATATTATGTCATACCTGGGCTGCGATAACATTTGATACGTGTGTTCTGGCCCGTGTGATAACTAGCGGTACGGCCCGGGGGTTCTTAACGCATACGGGCCGGGGCTTCTAAATGTTCCATAGAATGATTCGAACGCGTTTCGCCCTAACCGCGTGTGCCGCTTTCGAATTTCGAATACAAAATTCAGACGTTGGAATTGATGTTGTTGCATTTTTTGGGGTTTAGGGACACCAAATTTTTGCTCATTTCGCATTGAAAGGTGTGTTTTCTTGGGTTGGTATGACATAAATAAAATACAACACGGTGTATTCCGTATCACCCTCGGACCCAGCCCTCCCGCGGATCGGATCTCCCTCTGGCCTTCGGCCGTCGGGCGATCCGACGCGCGGTTGGGCTGGTACCTCGGGCGATACAGAATACCCCGTGTTGTATTCTACATTTACCCCAGGAGACTGGAAATAGTAGATGCTAACCTGACAGTGAATGATTGAGTAAGTGTGTGTTGAGCCTTGCTTCTTTTTCAGATATCAATGAGTGTGAGAGGAACCGTCACCTGTGCAGAGGGGGTCAGTGTATCAACACACCTGGCAGCTACAAGTGTAACTGCCCAGCTGGTCATGAGCTCAACTCTGCTGGAACTGCCTGCAAGGGTTAGTCCACCATTTTAGTGGATAAGGCCACACCAATTTAATTTCTTGGTTAACAGATTTTTCTAGAAAAATAATGGAGCGGGCGGCCGAAAAAAAAATAAAAATAAAAACAGGCCTAGGCATCCTATTATGGCCCAAAATGGTACGATAGGAGCCATGAAGTGAACACACCAGGCTGGTTCAAAATTTAAACAACGAATTTTGAACTTTTAATGATACCGTTGCATTGAAAGATGGAATAACTGTAACAACTAGGATGAAAAGGACTGTTTTCAACTGTTCAGGGCAAAATATGAGCATTTTGCAGTTGATTCTGAATTTTTATTCTTATTTGCAAATCAGAAAAAAATGAAGCGGGCGAATCCATTAACCAAGAAATTAAATTGGTGTGGCCTAAGGATCTTTAAAAAGTACTACAAGTACTGTTTAGGGTCGCAGTCCTTAGGACGGGACGTTAAGCCGTGGTCCACTGTTCATTGTTCTTGTCGAAAAGAGCTTAAGGGGAATTTCCCCGGTACAATGAACCTGTAAATACTGTACATAGCGTCTGTCTTCTCTGTCATGACCAGTGGAAGATTAGCTCTTTAATGAGCTAAACTGGTTCCAGATCACTTTCACTTTCCACATCTACATTACTCTGTACAATGCTTAAAATCCTGAAATTTTTGTGTTGTTTTTTGGGGGGGAGGGGGCATTAAGCAACTTAACAAAAAAAATTGTTTGCAATGAAAGTTCGTCTGTGTTCAACTTGATCAGGAAGAAAGGCTAAACTCTATGGATTCCCGATTTACTTAGTGTTGGACATAAAGTTTATACTTTAGAATAAAACTATCATCATGGTACATGACATTGTGTGTCTGTGCTATGGGCCATTGAGCCTGAAATAAACAATAAATAAATAAAAATAAATATTATTATTATTAAATAAATTGTATTTATCCATATTGTAGGTTTTTGCTGTCATAAGCAATCATGTTGACAGGTGCCTGTCATTGTTTTCTTTTGCAGATATTGACGAGTGTAGTATGAATAGCGATGTGTGCTCCAATGGCAGATGTATCAACGTTATGGGCAGTTTCCAGTGCCTGTGCAGCAAGGGTTACTCGGAAACTGACAACAGGAGGAGCTGTGAAGGTACAACTCTTTAAAGGCATCCAATGCAAAACTGAAATCTGAATACAATTAGTGTATGGTTGAAGAGATTCATTTGTCACGTACATGTATAGATACAGTTACTAGTGAATTCTTTCATCAGTGACAACTTGGAAGGGTAAGGATACTAACCTCCAAATTTTCGATGGCTATCTGTCCATCTTGTTCACGGAGTGGCCTAATCTCGCGAGAGCGCGAGACTAGGCCCGAGACTTGCATCGGTCTGCCAGGACAAACCCGGACAGAAGGTTGGGAACTCCCTAAGACTTACTTACCCTTACTCCAGAGGGAGGCAACAGGCTATCAGTCCATCTTGTTCACGGAGCTCTTGCGAGATTAGGCCACCCCGTGAACAAGATGGACTAATAGCCATCGAAAATTTGGAGGTTAGTATCCTTACCCTTCCAAGTTGTCACTGATGAAAGAATTAACTAGTAACCCAATTAGTGTATGATATTGACACATACTGGCCCACATTATTATTGGCACATTTTCATCAGTATTTCATATTTGGGGTGTAAAAGCTATGAAACATGCCACAAATTATATGATCATGAGTCCTTTGTTTTCTGGGTGGTTCCCCAAAAATCAGCCTAGGATCCTACCAGTAACTGTTTTCCATTTCAATTTCGGCATTTTCACTCCATGAATGTCAACATATTGGGATAGTGGGTTTTTTTTCAATATGGACTTTGGAAATCTGTTTTTCATACCTAAAATGCATTGTGCCCTTTAAGGCTTGTTAGTGATGTTACAAGATAACAAAGATATGATCACATAAGAATAACAGAAGGATACAGAAGGATGGCAACGTAATGATACATCATACAGCATGTACAATGTAGTAAGAGAACTCATATTTTGCATTTCAGCTCATTAATTATAGAGAGAAGTTTATTGCACAAGAATTGCACAACAACAGTCTTCTCCCAGATCCAATCATGAAGCTGGGCTGACGGAAACAAAAAAAAACCAAGCTGGCTGGAGCCGGGCCCTGCATAAAGAGCTTCAGTTACATGACTTGTTTGTATTAAAACAAACAAACTGATTTTGGCTATAATTTCCACCTGCCAGCTTTTATAATAATTTACTGTTATTGATAATGATCAATCGGATGAACGTACATGACATTTGTACATGTACATGTACATTTAAGTAGTAATCCACTTAAACTACTTTAAAAGCATAGAAGATACATTGTATGTTCACACAGCATCATTAACTTGAAGCTGTTATGTAATCCTGCTGCTGGACTTATCCTGGCATTGTGCTGTAGAATATTCTGTTGGGAGGCCAAAAACAACAAGGTATGGTCAAGGTTGGGTCATTTGTTTGGGGGCTGATGAAACAGGTAAATCATTCATGTGAAAATAGAAAGGAACAGGAATTGGGTGATATCCAAGCTGAGGTTACATGTGACTGTATGATGTGGTTTTGGCACTGCGAGTTTCCAACAAACAAAAGTCTGCCAAGTCATAATGCGGCTGCATCAAAAAAGGTGGTGAGAGAGTCCTAGTAGCCTCCTAGGACTCTGGTTGATTTCAAGTAAAATGCTTGTATTCCTCAGTAGGTTCATTAAAAGGCTGGACCTGGAACGATAAACCTGGGATAGTAGTTGACCTCAGTGTTATTCTAGTTATATGCCAATGATGAAGTAGGCCCGTTAAATGCCAAGATTTTGTTTGTTCCAAAAGCCATAGCCTGCATTCAACATGTTCCTTTGGAAGACATAATAGCCTCGTGTTAGGATAAATCTGTAATGTTAACCTCTGTTACTGCAGATTTTGTCATCTCTGTTACCGATCAAGTAAGAAGACGGTCCTGAAGTTAACGATAGAGCCAAATATACTTACTTGTACTTGTCTCAGACTGTAATGAGTAGGTCTCCTCATCTATCTCCTGTGTCAAGACAAGAGCCACATTTAAGAAAAAAAATTGCTGTTTTGATGACATTTTGCTAGGTTTCTAAATGAATAAGAAAGGAGTGTTCACTGTCATTTGTAACAACGCTTGCTGAACAAAATAATTTACTGACAGTAATTATGAAGCAAGTTTAAACTGTAATTTCCAACACAACAAATTGGACTCACCCAAATTATTTGAGTAATGACAGTCACTGTAACCTCCATAACAGTCGTCTGTTACTTTCATTATTAGTAGTGAACTTCACCTGGTATAACAATGTTGCCAAGTTTTTCAATGTTCGTACTTACATGAAGCTTTGAGTTACATCTTTTTAGAGAAAAAAAGTCAAAAGTGCAATCTTTTGGAATTCTGGAAATTTCAGTGAGAAGGAGCCATAATGGCTTTGAGAATTAGATCTATCCCTGCATCTGGTAAAGATGTTAGTCAGAGTAAATGTCAAGTATCACTGACCTGAAGAAGAGTTTGCCTTTAAGGTTGTGACTTCCCCTTTAACAGCCAGACTGATCTCTGTGTCTGTCCAACTCAAACCACCTGTTCACATTTTCACACAGTTTCTCCCATTAGTCTTCGGTTCACATATAACACCAGAAGGTTAAAACTTTGAAGTTGTCTGGGGACATTGAGTTAAAGAAGGCTTGAATTTATGCCTTAAGCAATTTTCTTTTTCGAAATCAAAGGTATCCAGTGCATGTAATGGACCTATACCATTATTACGTCACAGTTTGTTTACCGCAATGAATGCCGGTCAATCGACGTTTATATTGTACAGGGGTGCGAAGCGGGGTGTGTGTTTGTGTAGCATTAGCCTAATATAAGGCTTTTAATACAGTACTACTTTCGTCTAATGTCACAACTAAATCACGCAGCATGTAATGCTGTGTCAACACAACTAGACGCAGCAAAAAATCAGACATACCTTACTTTGAAACTTTGAAATGATCTTTATTCTTTAACTGACCGTTCTAGAATGTTCTTTAGAACAGGTAAACAAACTGTGACGTACATGTAATAATGGTATACATGTAGGTCCATTCAATGTCGTAACCACCTGATGTTGTGTCATGGCCATGTCTAAGATGGAGAAGGGTTAGCAAGGATAATTTTATATATAACAGTTGGCTGTTGAATGTCCAGGTCCATGTAATATTGTGATGTTTTTACTAAACAAAGTCTTGAAATGATGATGATGATGTCTTTTAGCCAGCTCGAATTTTTTTCCATCAGCCCAGGTTCATGATCAGACCTGGAGAGTGCTCGCAATCTAGAGGGGTCATGGGGCAGATTTTGAATTTTCAATCCTTCGAAAATGCAATTTCCCAAATTTTAAGAGGCAAATGATGGGGTTTAGAGTGATTATTGGTGATCATTTGAATGTTGTTATATTTTTATCTATATATAAGATTTTTGTCAATTTCGTTTAGGCCATGTTGATTTGATTATATGGATGACATCCTCGCGCGCATGAATTTTTGGCCGTTTCCACACAAAAAAAAAGGTTTCAACCATACTGTAAATCGTACAAAACAGTTGCAATATGAGCAAAAATATACCATTAGTTACAAAAAAAATTAATAAAAACTATACCAATGTCATAGAATTCCAAAATCAAACGAAAAAAGACGAAATTGTAAAGAAATGAACTTGAAGACTAGATTATTCGCCAAACCATATTCTGTGCCATTTGCTCAACCCTCATGACCACATAGATTTCATAATGAAAAGAAATTTTTTTTTGCAAAACTTTTTTGTTATTCGCACGCGCATCAGTTTTGGGGCTCCAGGAGGATGTCATCCATATAATCAAATCAACATGGCCTTATTGTTAAAAATTTCGTTAAAGATTTGCATATAAGGCAATTGACACTAAAAACGGGTGCTGGCTAGAGCCCTGATGTGTGTGTGTAATGCTACATGTAGTATGCCACTCTGCTTAAGCTTGTCCTATAAAAATTGCACAGCAGCAATCCTCTCAGCAGACTAAGGCCACACCAATTTAATTTGTTGGTTCTCGGATTTTGTCAGAAAAAACATGAAGCGACAGGGCGAAAAAAAAAATAAAAACAGGTTAAGGCATCCTATTATAGCCCCAAATGCTATGATAGGAGCCATGAAGTCAACACAAAAGGTTGTGTTAATATTTAAACAATGAATTTTGAACTTTTAATCAAACCACTGCATTGATAGATGGAAACACTGCAACAGCTAGAAAGAAAAGGACTTTCCACAACTGCTGGGGGTAAAATATGAGCATTTTTTAGTTGATTCAGAACCAGAATCTTTTTTTTTTTTTCAAATCAGAAAAAAATGAAGAAGCGAATCCGAGAACCAACAAATTAAATTGGTGTGGCCTAAGGGGCTTTTTTGCAACAGCATTAACAAAATTTCCACATCTGGATTGATGCACAGAGGGGGGGGGGGGGAACCATGTAGCTGTCCAGCCATCAGACTATTACGAGGTCTCCTAATTCTTCCTCTTGACAGTCTTAAAGTTTGCTCTTCTCCCCACAGCCCCTAACTCTTCTAATGGATAGCACAATTATCAAAAGGAGAAGGAACTGGTCCTTTTGTGACCTTTGTTATGCGTCCTTGAAATTAAGTCTTGAGGTTACAACGAGCTGGCAAATCTTACACATACTTGGCAGCCTTGCCCTAGCCTAGCAGGAATTGCAAATGACTCCATAAGGGGCACAAGTCAAACAACAAATGTGGAAGTTGTTGTGTGTTAATTGGATGACTGCGAAGCCGTGCTGAAGTCAGTTGCTGTGTGAAGTGTTGGTGGGGTGAGGGCAGGTGGGATGATGTTCAATAACACCCTGTCTGTGCTGAACACCTTGGTTGCGTTGCTGTCACAGATGACCCCCAGGGCTCGCAGGCAAGGTTACAATTGTAGGCAGTCTATCTCACCGAGTCTAGATTCTTGTATCTATGCCAGGTTGGCCTCTTAAGGCGACTAGACATCGATGTAAAGATTCATCAGTTATCTGTCACATCAAAGACTTGATTTTTACTTCTTGTATGGTGCACATTACAAGTCTATTCTGGTATTGTCAAGCATAAGGCTTATTAGAACATGTACAATATTATGACATAGCCATCTGGTAGTAACCTGACCGATGACGGTTTGTTTGATTCCAGACTTAGACTGTCTTAGAAATGCCCCCAGACTTCCCCTACGGAGCCCCACTAGAGGGCGTTTACCATTAATGCAGGAACACCATGATGTAAGATAATTGCTAGATATCACGTAGTGCTGCTTGCCCCATTAACCCTTCAAACATCAGTTCTGATATTAGGGCTGAATGTCTTCATTGGGCTCTGATTCAAACACTTATGGGTTAGATTAACATTCAGGTCCTTTTCTGTGGTCCTAAAACTCTCTCTGAAGTGTTGTTTTACTTCTTGCAGATTTTGATGAATGCTCGGTAAATAATGGAGGGTGCCAGACCTCTTGTACCAACATTGTGGGTAGTTTTGAGTGTAGCTGTGAGCAGGGCTATGTACTCGGACCTGACAAGAGGAGATGCATGGGTGAGTAAAAGTGTTCTTTTATTCCTAGTACATTGTATAGTAAAGAGCATCTTGAACATTTTTTTTTTATTCTTGATTGCTGGAAGTGACATACATTTTCTACAGCGTCAAAAAAAGTCACTGCATAAACCTTTTCAGGATGATGACGTGGAAACCTGCATGTTTTGACCTACATGTTCTGACATATAGGGTAAGGGTTAGAGTTAGGTTAAGTTGTGGGAACATACTTACTATTAGGCATGTTTGAATATAGGGGTGTAACTGATGACTTAGACTGCATGTGTGAGTTCCTGAAGTTGTCTTGACTTACCCTTTCTGTTGTCTGACTGTGTGTGTTTTAGAAGGAAAGCTAAAATAATGTTTTGAAGTACAATGTATCAACAACTTCGTTATCAAAACAAGTTTTACCTCAGAATCTGTGACTATATGAATCACCTTGATAATGGAGATTTGAAAACATGATTTGTTCATACTTTATCCAACAGATAATATTGTAATTATATTCCTTATGACCTCTGACCTCCAAAACAGTATATTATCATTCTTGTTTGAATACTTTTAATATGCCCTGTAATTAAGTCTGTTAAGTCTGTAATTTAAAATTGTTAATTGATTGATCTTAGCTTAATGTCATACTTGTTAGCTTATTAGTATGTTACATGTATATTGTGTATGTTTAATTTGTGTATCTTTTGGCACCCAAAATCAGCCATGCTGCCTGGGTGGCCAATGTATTGCTTTGTTGCACTCACTCACTCACTCACTGTTCGGTTTATTCGTCTGTTGTTCCCCGTCTTCCGAGGGTTAGACGTCACTTGTCTCTGTCCTGTGCAATTGAATTAAAATGAAAAAATTAAATGAAAATAAAATAAAATCCAACAGATGTGGATGAGTGTGCTGACACCCCTGACCTATGCGGGGGTGGAATGTGCACCAACGAGCCGGGGACCTACAGCTGCACCTGTATCGATGGCTTCATCACCGAGCCCTCGGGCAAGATGTGCATGGACGTGGACGAGTGCGCCCTCAACCCCAACATCTGTCAGAACGGGCAGTGTGAGAACACCAGGGGGTCCTTCGCTTGTCTGTGTGATCCTGGATATTCTGTGAAGAAGGAGGGAGAGGGATGCACAGGTGAGGTTTTTTCTCTCAAAACAAAGAAGAGAGCATGACTGTGTAAAATGTTTCTGAACATATAGATTTGGAGGTTCTAACGCCCTATGTTCCGATATGGGACTCTTCTTTTGTTATAATGTCAAGATAAACATTTACTATTAGGCCACACCAATTTAATTTCTTGGTTAACGTATTTTTCTAGAAAAATGATGGAGTGGGCGGGCGAAAAAAATAAATAAAATATATAAAAAACAGGCCTAGGCATCCTATTACGGCCCAAAATGGTACAATAGGAGCCATGAAGTCAACACACCAGGCTGGTTCAAAATGTAAACAATGAATTTTGAACATTTAATGATACCATTGCATTGAAAGATAACTGTAACAACTAGGATGAAAAGGACTGTTTTCAACTGTTCAGGGCAAAATATGATCATTTTGCAGTTGATTCTGAATTTTTATTTTTATTTGCAAATCAGAAAAAAATGAAGCGGGCGAATCCGTTAACCAAGAAACTAAATTGGTGTGGCCTTACATAAATAGATTTCCTCAGACTGCTTTAAATTTCTAAAACCCTGGATCTGGAACTGACATAGGTATAAGCATATTGCACATACATGTACATGTAACGTTATATATCAATATTTCAATATATTGGACATGTCAAAATGATCAATTTCCCTATTTCATGCACTTAAGCACTGTAGAAAATTTCATATTCTAAATGCAACTAGACAATCCTTCCATAGAAAAACATATGTTCTTTTATTTCTACCAGAAAAAAAAATGAGGAAAAGTTGAAATTATGCATTATAGTTAGTTTTATTTTGTATCTGCTAACTGTGTCTGGTCATTGTGTTTTGTTGTGACCTCTACTTATACATGTATAGCCCAGTGTGGCAAAAATGTGCCATTAAGTTCATTCATTCATTCATTCATTCATTCATTCATTCATTCATTCATTCATTCATTCATTCATTCATTCATTCATTCATTCATTCATTCATTCATTCATTCATTCATTCCTTTCCTTTCCTTTCTTTATTCCTCCACGTTGGGAGAGCCATGGTCGTTAAAATACAGGGACATACACTTAAAGGATATTACAGTTTAAAAAAATAGTTTGCTTTTTCACACAGACACATGATTAAATATAAATAATGGATATCGTCTATTCTATGGCGATCTGTCCATTTCTATTTCGTCTTTCGTCTTTCTTAGGCATTACAGTTCTTTACTATTCCTGAGTGTTTAACACTCGACCGCTCTCTTTCTAAATGTAAACACATACTGTCCACTCCTCCACAGGTGTTTCACTCTGTAGCACTTATCTCTCTGTCTCTTTCTGTCTCTTCATCTCTTGTAAACACCCTGTCCACTCTTTCACAGGTGCTTCACTCTGTATCACTTCTGTCTTCTGTCTCCTTCTGTCTCTGCATCTCTTGTAAACACTATACACTCTTCCACAGGTGTTTCACTCCTCCACAGGTGTTTCACTCTGCATCACTTCTGTCTCCTTCTGTCTCTGTATCTCTTGTAAACACACTGTACACTCCTCCACAGGTGTTTCACTCTGCATCACTTCTGTCTCCTTCTGTCTCTGCGTCTCTTGTAAACACACTGTACACTCCTCCACAGGTGTTTCACTCTGTATCACTTCTGTCTTCTGTCTCCTTCTGTCTCTGCATCTCTTGTAAACACTATACACTCTTCCACAGGTGTTTCACTCCTCCACAGGTGTTTCACTCTGC